TTTTTTTTTTTTTTTTTTTTTTTTTGGTACTGGGATCAAACTCAGGTCCTTGCACTTATGAGGCAGGAAGTGGCACAATTGAGCTAAATCGCTGGCCCTGTGATGATGTTTTTAAAGGAATACACATAGGTCAGATTGTAGCCAGGTATGGTGGTGCACACTTGTAATCTCAGCACTCCGGGAGGCTGAGGCAGGAAGGTTACAGGTTGGAGCCCAGCCTGGGTGACTTAGTGAGACCCTGTCTCTAAAAAAATAAAAAGAACTGGGGGCTGTAGCTCAGGGCAAAGGCCCTAGGTTCAATCCCCAGTAGTGCCAAAAAAAATTCACCAGATTTAAGCTTGTGCATTTTACCATTTACATTTCAAGGAAAGCTGTAAACAAACAAATAAACAAAAAGTAACTCTAGTAGAGCTCTGGATGCAGGCAGGATAGTCCATTTATGAATGGCAGCTATTCCCATTATGAACCGCTATGTTTGCAATCAGATGCTTCTTTGATTGGTTTTCATCTCCACCAGCACACTGCCTCGGGTCTGCTTGCTACAAGTCCCCAGTACTTGGCACATAGGAGATGCTCATTAAACAGGTGTGGAGAGAAATCTGCTACTTTCTCCCGGAACATCTCAGAACCCGCAAGGTTAATTTGTCCCAGAGGGGGCAGAATCCATGGCACCAAACCTTTGTGAGGAGAACTAAGGCAGCCCCTGTCCACGGCCAACCCGGCCCCTCAAGAGGAGACAGGGCGGAGCGGAACCGAGGCAGCAGGGCCAGGAAGGAAGTGGACACCGCCCCGCCTCGCCCAGGGCACAGGGGCTTGGCCCTGGGCCATGCTTGTGCTCTAAAATGATTCTGTAAACCAGGCGTGGTGGTGCGTGCCTGTAACCTGAGCACTCGGGAGGCTGAAGCAGGAGGAGCGCTGTGAGTTGGAGGCCAGCCTGGGCTATATAGTGAGTTCAAGGCCAGTCTGAACTGTACAGCAAGACCCTGTTTGAAAAACCAATAAAATAAAAATAATAAAATGATGCTGTAGGCACATGCTGCAGAGTCCTGCCTGATAGGTGAGACAGACCTGGGTTCGAACTCAGCTGTGCTGCTCTGTGTGACCGCAGGGGAGTCACTGCACCCCTCTGAGCCTGCTCCCTCCTCTGCCAAAGTTAAGGTCCCTGCTTGTCACTCAGTGGAAGTGAGAGGAGGGCCCAAGGGTGAGGAGTGACTGGCCCACTGCACACTCAGAACACTGACGGGCGCCGGAGGCAGCGGGGACAGACCCTGGACCCTCTCCCTGTGAGGACTCCGGACTCTGACTTCGGTGGTCTGAGGGGTCTTGGAAGTGAGCATTTTAACAGCTCCAGGGTGATTCCTGAGTGCACGGTGGAAACCTTGCCATCCACATGCAGCAGGATACACACACAGAAACGGAGGCCCAGAGAGGCTAGACAACTTCCCCAAGGCCACACAGCCAAGAAAAGATAGAGCTGGGACGGAAGCAGTCTATCTGAGCCCGGGACCCAAAGCCATAGCCCCATGGGAGGTTGCACAGACTTGCACCTGTGCCCTTCTGCTGTACCCCGAATGCGATCCCAGCCAGCAAACACCAGCCCTCAGGCTGACAGAGCAGGGAAGGGGGTGGCAAGGAGCCCCACTTTCCATGTGAGGCTCCTCAGTGTCCCACACCCAGCCACAGGCCACTGGAATCCTCTTTCCCAGGGCTCAGGACCAGCTCCTGCTGGCAAAGGTGCCAGCAGGCCGGCCTGGGGACCTGGGACACCCTGTCCCCTGCCCTCAAGCCCCACAATGCCCACACCCACCCTCTTGCTGCTGCGGGCTTCCTGCTGGGTCCCCCTCTGCAGATGTGGGAGTGAATTGGAGAGGTCCAAGCAGGAGTGCTGTCCTGTCCCAAGCACTTTTCTTTATCCTCCCTTCCTGCTGGCAAAGGTGCCAGCAGGCCGGCCTGGGGACCTGGGACACCCTGTCCCCTGCCCTCAAGCCCCACAATGCCCACACCCACCCTCTTGCTGCTGCGGGCTTCCTGCTGGGTCCCCCTCTGCAGATGTGGGAGTGAATTGGAGAGGTCCAAGCAGGAGTGCTGTCCTGTCCCAAGCACTTTTCTTTATCCTCCCTCTC